GGGCTTTTTGAGTATGGGAGTGATGTGCGCATGCTTCAGAGGGGAGGGGAATGCGCCAGAAGAGAGGGAGAGATTAAAGATATGGGTGAGCGAGCAAAGGATGAAGGAGGAGGGAGGTCGTAGGAGTTGTGAGGGGACAGGGTCGAGTTTAGTGAGCAATACACATTTGCAAGTCTGGGTTTTTAATTAAAACCGAAATTTCAATCCTCTCAAGCTTTCAAATTCATATTCCATAACTCCCACAGTAATGGAATTAATTTTATTAAAAGTGCTTATGTTAATGTATGGGAAGAGGCCAATCAGTTAGATGCCAATCATATTACAAGGTCCAGGAGGCTAATACAACACATTAGATCTCCTAAGCAATATGTCCATAATATCTATATCATATTAGTCTCCAAAATTTGTAATTTCATTCTGTTCATTAATATGTTGGTTGTCATATGTGAAACATCAGCTGAAAATGTAGATTTCTTAACTTTTCCATTGGGTTATACCCCTTCTCCAGGTGACTGGACACAAGCAAATTGCAAAGTGTAACCCCTCCCACTCCCAATATTGCCTTCGTTTTTTGGGAAGGGTTGTAAGTGTTCCAGATCTCCATCTCCACAGGAGCTACTTTTCCTCAGGTTGGATTTCCTCTTCCTCAGAGGATTTCTTGGCTTCAGTGGACATCAAGGATGCTTACCTTCACATTCCCGATTTTTCTGTATTATCAGCACTATTTATTTTGGGGTAGGAAACCAACAATTTTAGTTGGTGGCTCTGCCCTTTGGTCTTGCCAACGCACCACAAATTTTCATGAAGGTGCTGGCCCCAAAGTTATCTCTGCTTTGAGCTTGGGGGATCCCCATTTTGGGGTATCTGGATTTCCTTCTGCTACAACAACAGTCAGCAGACAGCCCCAAGGCCAATGTACAACTGATGGTGTAGACTTTACAGAAATTTGGCTGGATCCTCAATCTCTAAAACTCAATGCGGGATCTGTCGCACCACCTTGAGTTTATTGGCCTGGTTCTGAACACAGCCCTAGCATGTGTTTTCATTATCCAGGAAAGGCTTCAAACCCTCTAGTCCAAGGTGCAGGACCTGCAGTCTCTGTCGTATCCTTGCGTTATCTTCTGCATAAGGGTACTGGGCTTGATAGTGCCCCCTTCGAGGTAGTCCTTTACTCTCATTTTGACTCCAGAATGCTGCAACCCAAAATCCTAACAGCATGGGACAAACAGACACAGTCCTTGGATCACTCAGTGAGTTTAAACAATTTCAGCATGGCCGTGAGCGGTGGCTGTCCAGTTTGGCTCTGTAATACGGAAAGTCCTTTAACTATGGTGGGACAATGTCCATTCAGAGGTTGTTGGAAGAAGCCTAGCTGCCAATCACTTTTCTCTGGAGCTCAAGGCACTTCGATTTGCCCCTCATCACTGAACCTTCCTGCTTCAGAATCTGCTGGTCTGGGTCCAATCCAACAATGCCAGGGTGATGGCATACATCAAGGCAGTTACCAAGGGCCGAGCTGCTGCCCTCAAAGAAGCAGAGCTTATTGTGACAAGGTCAGAACTTCACACTTCAGCCCTGTCTGCAGTGCACAGGTTTAGAAAATTGGCTAGTGAATTTCCTAAAGTATCAGTGTCTGGATCCAGGAGAATGGCCTCTCCACCCAGAAGTATGTTGGTCAATCTTTCTTCACTGAAGAACACTCAACATAGATACAGTATTCAACTGTAAAGATTTAACCACAAACTGGACAGATCCATGTCCAGGACCACAGATCCACAAGACTTTACGTTAGATGCCCTCATGACTTTGTGGGATAAGATCAATCTAATATATGTGTTTCCACCTCGAAAACTCCTGGCTTGCCTGCTTCAGAGAATTCCTGTGTTCCTTCCTGGTTTTAATGGTTTGGTATTAATACCCAGGTTTTGAATAAGAAGAGACATCTAGATTCTGTGATCCCCAGCCTTCTGAAAATCATCTTACCACAAGGTTTACTACTGCACCTGGAAAGCACGCTTCTATGCAAAGAGAGTTAGCTTCACCCCAGTATTTACTACATGGGGTGGGTTTATCTTTCCTTCAGGAAGGCTTGAACAAATCCTTGGCCCTGAGGATCATTAAGGGTCAGGTTTCCTTGGCTGTACTTTTTAAGAGACTGCTGGCCTTCTAATACTTCAAAGCTTTTGTCTAGGGGATCGCTGACATTGTACAACCTGTACACTCTCAATTAACAATATGGGACCTCAGTCTGGGGTTGTCAGTCCTTCAAAGACCACCTTCTGAATATATTTGGGACATATCTCTCCCTCTTCATTTCCCATAACGTTACCTTTCTTTTGACTGTTACCTCGATTAGCAAAGTGTCTAAACATACAGTCTTATCTTGTAAGGTGCTTTTTTTGTGCTTCACAAGGACAAGGTGGTTTTGAGTCCTTGACCTCTGTTTTGTGTGCAAGGTGGCCCTGGGTTTAAATTTAAATCAGTACATTGTATTGACATCCTTTTGTCCAGCACCTGAGCATCCTAAGGAGATTGCTCACAACTGTATGGATGTGGTTATGGCTGTGCACGTCTGCATGGCAGCCACATCCTCAATTTGGCAATCTAATTCTCTTTGTGTTGCCTGAGGGCTCCCAGGAGCAACAGGCTGACTCTCAATCCACAATTTGTCAAATCATTATTCAGGCCTACGACCTAATGGGGAATATGCCCCCCTTTCCTGTGAAGGCTCACTCCACCTGAAGTGTCAGTGCTTTGTGTACTTTTCAGTATCAGGCCTCTGTTTCTCAGGTCTGAAAGGCTGCCACCCTACACACGTTACCAGGGGCGGACTGACAACTCATGGAGTCCCCGGGCAATAGGGGGTCATGGTGCCCCTGTGTCCTTGCCCAAACTCAAAAAAGCCTATGAAAAAGGTAACAAGGGCATCTCATGGGGCCCCCTACTGACCCCGGGCCCTAGGGCAGTGCCCAAGTTTCCAAATGGTCAGTCCGCCCCTGCACGTTACTTAATTTTGCAAGGTGGTTGTTTGGGACTCTGTGATTTATGTCGGAAAACCCTCAAGGTGGCTCTGTAGGGTCCTTGGATGTTTGCTTTCTTTTTTCTACTTAAGAGGTTTTTGGTGAGCCTATTAGCCATTTGCTCAGTTGCCTGTCCCACTTGGGATTTCTTTTGGTTGTCCCAATGGTCTAAGAATTAAAAATGTCCTGCATCCCAGAATGTACGATTAAAAAAATCTAATTTTTGACTTGTTTGTAAAATCCTTTACTTGGAGTACATCACAGCACACAGGTCCCTCCCCTTTATCACTCTGATATTGCTTGATGACAAAGCTGAGGCAAAACTGTGTGGAAGGGACTATGATGGGACAAGCTTTGCAATTGTCAGTGTCCCCTTACCTGGAGGTGAAGCATAACCCAATGGTGATACATCCTATTTTAAAAGGATTATTTGGAATCACGGATATTTCTACCGAACATATTAAAATACAGCAGCACACTGATCAGCACACCCCCATAATGCTTGTGAATCAGGCAACCATAGCTTTTATCTTTTCCTCAAAACTATGAAGAAATAATAAGGGGTCTATTTTTAAGACAGAATTGCAACAGAGGATGCTGTGAACAGTGAAGAAAATCCCAAGTTTGGGGTTGTCAACAGAACAGGAAAAATTTTCCAACAGGGACACTAGTTCTGGTGACACTAGTGAAAACCAGGGATTCCTTCACTTTGAAGGGATTTCCTCTTCCTCTTCGGCTATGGGACAGGAAATGAAAGGAAATCTCCACTCTCCCGGGACTGTCAGGGGTTATAATCCTCCCTCTATCCAAAATGAAAAATAAAGTTTTGCCTTTAGTTCTACATTAATTTGGAAAAGGTTTTTGAGCTATAGTATATGTTGAATTATTGTTGCAGTATACCTTTTTTTTATATGTTAACATTTGTACATGCTTTGTCTTCTATAGTTCTGTTATTGTATTAAATGCAAAGATTTGAAGTTTTACCAGTAGAGGGAGCAAACATTCCATTTGCAATCATTCTGTCTGCAGAAGAAACTAAATATCAACCACAATGGCAGTGCATCATTTTCAAAATGTGTGTGCCAACTCATTGTATTGTTGTCTTTATATACACATATGGGGTTGATTTACTAAAACTGGAGAGTGTAAAATCTGGTGCAGCTGTGCATGCAAGCCAATCAGCTTCTAACTTCAGCTTGTTCAATTATGCTTTGACAATAAAACCTGGAAGCTGATTGGTTTCTATTCAGAGCTGCACCAGATGTTACACTCAGGTTCAATTTTAGTAAATCAACCCCACATGGGTTCATGTACATAGACAGTTTTGTGGAGCAAACATGCACAAAATCCTGGCATTTTTCTTTGCATTGAAGCCCCAGGTGGACCATACAGATGGTCATAGAAGTGAATGACTGTACATGGCTGCGTTAAGGTAGGCACCGTTGCTTTTTGGCATTGATGTTTACATGCACATATAAGGTATTACACACCTCACATGTATTTAGCTTTAAGGGTTTTTTTTTATACTCCAGTAAACACACGCCTAACTCCAAGTATTCTAAATGTGTCTGTCACACACCTGGCAGTGACCGAACTGATGAGAGGGCTCTCCTTTAGGCCCCTTTCACACGTGCGTTCAGTATGTCCGTTTTTCATCTGTCCATTTACGGATGAAAAATGGATGCCCATATATTTCTATGGACTAGCGGAAGTAAACGGGTAATCATCTGTTTACAATCCTTTACCACCTCCCGCTTGCCATATAGTAATATGATGGACGCAAAGTGGTTCTCTCATTCTGGGAGGACGTCATACGGTCATGTGATCAGCTGTGTCCAATCACAGCTGATCACATGTAAACAGGGAAATGCCGGTTATCGGCATTTCTCTCCTCTCGAGCTGTCACGCTGACAGCTCGAGAGGAGAGGAGAGCCGGTAATCGGCACTCCGCGGAGGGGACATGTACAATGATCATCAGGGCACTGAGGATCAGTGTGCCCTGATGATCAGTGTAGCCCCAGCAGCGCCACCTGTCAGTGTCCATCAGTGCCTTGTGTCAGTGCCCATCAGTGCCGTGTCAGTGCCCATCAGTGCCATATCAATGCCACATATCAGTGCCTACCAGTGCACATCAATGCCACATATCAGTGCCCATCTGAGCTGCCTTTCTGTGTCACCCATCAGTGCCAGTCAGTGCCACCTATCAGTGCAAGTCAGTGCATCCTAACAGTGCCAGTCAGTGCCACCTATCAGTGCCATGTATCAGTGCCATGTATCAGTGCTGCCTTTCAGTGCCCATCAGTGATGCCTGTCAATGCCCATTAGTGCCACCTACCAGTGCCTCCTCATCAGTGCCCATCAGTGCCACCTATCAGTGTCCATCAGTGCAGCCTATCAGTGCCCATCACTGCAGCCTCATTAGCGCACATCAGTGAAGGAGAAAAATCACTTATTTATAAAATTTTATAACAAAAACTAAGAAAAAACTTATTTTTTTCAAAATTTTCAGTGGTTTTTGGTTTATTTAGGAAAAACCCAGAGGTGGTTAAATACCACCAAAATAAATCTATATCTGTCACACAAAAAAATGATAAAAATTTCATATGGGTACAGTGTTGCATGACCGCGCAATTGTCATTCAAAGTGTGACAGCGCTGAAAGCTGGAAATTGGCCTGGACAGGAAGGGGGTATAACTGCCCTGTAGGCTTGTGGTTAATGTCCGCATCTGTTAATATCTGTTTTTTTGAACGCAAGAAAACCCTATTTTTCTTCCATTAAAAAAACCTGCAATGCATGAAAAACGGATGTAAATGGACAAAAATATATTGCCTGATATGCCAGCTGCTTTTCTCAGATTTTTTTTTTCATGTTTTATAGTCACATGATTACTATATTTACCCAAGCGCAGGTTAATTGTTTTTGAGAAGTGAATGATCAATAATGCTGTGCAGGATGCAACTGTTTCCTATGACAATTTCAGGTATTGTATCATTTTTGACTGTATATTCTACCTGTATAGCCAGATTTACAGCAGAAATAAACATTTTGCCTGTCACAGGCAGTAAACAATTGCTTCAACTGATAAAAAGTATTCAAAACAATTGTCAGCAAAAGTGAATTTATCTTTGTGTTGAAAAATCATTTCAAAAGAGCCCCTATTTGGCTTAGTCTCAAGTAAAATCTTGTGAGATAAAAATACATTTCATATTGAAAGCTCTGTTGAAAACCTATGTGCTTCAGCTCAGAACAGGAAAAACATTTAATGATGTCACTGCTAGCAATGCTTAAAATAATGTAATCTATGTGTTCATTTTTCTATCCACCCATCCATTATCTATATCACATTTCTCTTCATTACTCCCTGTATAATGGTTGTTTCTTCCATGAGGCAGTAAAAATTGTGCTTTAGGCAAAGCCCTTTAGGGGTAGACAGATGTAATTCCTAACATAGAATGGCAAATCTGCCCTGGTGTCATGCACCTGGTAGAGACGAAGCTGAGGAGAGGCCTTCCCTTACACCTCCTGCCCAACAATACATGGAGGGTACATGTGCCTGTGGTAGGATGTGGACAGCATGGGTGGCCAGATGACAGTCTGGATATTTCTGAAATGCCATGGACTGGAACTTGTGCTAAATACTGTCACACAGACGGAGCACAGGAACATGCAAATAGGAGTCAAATCATCAAAGCAAGCCATAGTCAACAACTGGGCATATGCAGGAGCAGAGTCAGAAGTCAGGCAGACAAAACAGCAGGCAGAGGATGGAGTCAAAGCTAGGGTTGCCACCTCATCACCACAGGGCAGCACAGTGGCTAAATGGTTAGCACTTCCAACTGGCAGTACTAGGGTCATTGGTCCCATCCATGGCACCACCTGCCTGGAGTTTGCATGTTCTCCCTGTGACTGCGTGGGTTTCCTCCAGGTATTCCGGTTTCCTCCCACACTCCAAAGACATGCTGGTAGGTTAATTGGCTCCTGTCTAAATTGTCCCTAGTATGTGTATGTATGAATGTGAGTTAGGGACCTTAGATTGTACGCCCCTTGAGGATTACGGACTGATGTGAATGTACAATATATATGTAAAGTGCTGCGTAAATTGACAGCGCTATATACAGTAAGTACCTGAAATAAATAAATAATCCCTGTAAACCCAAACACATATTAATTGCACAGGTTCTGAGGCTAATTTAATGCAGATAACGTACTAGGTGAGTTTAATTACCACCTTAATCAGCCCCAGAACCTATGTAATTAATATGTGTTCGGTTTTAAAGGGATGAGTTGGCAACCCTAGTCAGAGCCCAAACAAGATCAACAACAGGAGATCAGAATCAAACACAGTCAGAAGTCAAGCTGGGTCAAAGCATCAGGATACAGGTTTGGTCACAAGTCACTGAAGCTGATGACCACTCAGCAATTCTCTTTAGTCTTTTTATGCCCTAAATAGCCACTGGACACAGTACATTTGTATTGGTCTGAAAACTGTTCAGTGCACATGCGCAGATCTTTAGGCACAGACATGCACTTAAAGTTCCTGACACCAGGTAAGATTTGCCTAAGGTTTGTTCAGCCTTGGAGCCAGAGCTGCAGTATCACATGACTGGACTGGAGCAGATTAAAAATAGGTAAGTGTACACATCATGCAGGTTAGGCAGTATAGGTGGTGGGACTGATCATTTTAACAATGGTTAGACTTAAGACTGGTACACGCAGGCTGAATATCATTCAACACATATCGGCCAATGTTCAGCTCGTGTGTACAGCAGCCTGTTCGACAGAAGCCCGTCTAACTACTGGCTTTTATTGAATGGGCATGCTGGAAAAACAGCATCCGAGCAGTGCTTGCAGCCAATGGCTGTGAGCTCTGATCAGTGTGTTCTGGAGGGGGGTTGGCCCCCCTGTCAAATCACAATAGTTCAGCAGGGGTGATCGCCACACTAATATCACTTAGTATGGTGACCTCTCTGGTTTTTTTTTTGTTCAGGCCGCTGGGTTGAACGAAAAAAAATTATTCCCTGTGAGTACCTAGCAATAGGCTAGGATATGTAAAAACTCAGCATTTTTTACTCCCATGTGCAAGAAACCTACAGTATGTGGTATTATTATTATACAGGATTTATATAGGGCCAACAGTTTGCTCAGTGCTTTACAATATATAGGGAGACAATACAGCAACAATACAGTTAAATACAAGAGGGCCCTGCTCCTTGGAGCTTACAATCTAAGATTACAGGACAGCATGAATTGTATGGACATCTTCATGTATTATCTGAGAGACATTAACCACAAATATTCATTGGCTGGACAATATATCAGCAGCTTGGTGAGCCCTCAATATAAGAGGCAAACTTTATTCTGAAATATTAATTAGAGGATGTTATCTGAAAGATAATAGCCACAACTATTGATCAGTGGCTGGACAGTATGCAAGCAGCTTGGTGGGCTGCAAAATATAAGGGAGAGACAAGATAGGTTTTATTTTAAAGCAGAAATTAGAGTGTAATGCATGTAATGTAACAACTTCCACTTTAATGGATCACTGAATGCAGTACAATATTTCATCATTTCTCCTAGTCAATTTTCACTGAGTGTTTTTTTTAAATATAGACTTATTTCCATGGCCTCACTATATGCATTGATGTACTGTATGTTATGCTTTAAAAGTTTTTTGGCACACTATGGGGTTGATTTACTAAAGGCAAATAGACTGTGAACTTTACAAACTTGCAGAGTGCAATTGCAGTTGCTCCAGAGCTTAGTAAATGAGGTAAAGCTTCCCTTTGCTAAGAATACCCAATCACATGCAAGCAAAATAAAAAAAAAACTACATTTTTGTTTGCACATGATTGGATGATGAAAGTCAGCAGAGCTTCTGCTCATTTACCAACAGCCACTCATCTGTCCCATGATCCAGCGGTGTACTCACCGCATCCGATTTCACCGGCCATCCTTGCTCCCTGGCGCTGGCATCAGGCTGTGACAGCTTGTGGCTTCATAGCTGGGTGCCCAATGCGCATGCACAAGTAGCACTGCACTTTGTGAATGGTCCTGTTGTCTTCTAGGACCTGTTAAGTGTCCCAGAAGACTACGGGGAGGGAGAGAGGACAACTTCTGCTTCTGATCGCCTAGGTGGCCACCGTGGAAGTGGGAGCGGTACCTCTCAAAATCGGTTACCTTCTCCCCCCCTCCCCAAAGGTGCTAGGGAGCGGGGGATCAGTATTTAAAAAGGACCTTCCCCTTTTGGGTGGAGTTCTGCTTTAAGGTGCAATGCACTGGATGACAATTTAATGTTTAGTCTAATTCATCAGCATCAGAGATTTTATACTCATTGGTTATTCAAGACAAGTTAGCTTTAAGGAAATTAAGGTGGTCCACACTGCTGCACTGAACACGCTCTGAAACAGCACACTGGTTGCAGGCCAAGCTGAAAGCTTCAGAGCATATTGTGTAAGTTCCAGCCAGTGGTCCAGCCTTAAAAAAAAAAACAATAGTCCGTGGGATTCTCACTTCTGAGAGTGTCAGCCCTGGACCCAGATGTGGTCAACAATCATATAGGTCAGGTGAGGGCTGTCTGCAGTCAAGCCTAGCTGCTGTGGTTCAAAAAAAAAATTTGAACAGCAGCGCAAAGGCTGTCACTGTGGAAATGCAGCAAAGATGTTCTTACACAACACCTAGCCAAGGCACTGTATTTTGGACTCCTTCTCGAATGGCAGCAGTAGAATGACTAGTTTACTTTTGTTTTGGGGACATAATAAGGTGGCCACCCAGGCATTTCAGCTCTCAGTCTTCTTTGTCACTGAAGACAACACTGTCCTGAACAATTTCACCCATCCCACAACTTCTGTGATCTAGGAAGGGTGAAATATCCCCCTTGTAGCCTGCCCCATTTCTTCCCCTCTGTCAGCAACCTTCCTTCTTGTCTTGCTCCTCTGCTTCCTGCTATGTCTGCCTCACAAGGATAAAGGCAGTAGTAAAGGATCCTGCTGGACCTGAGACAGCAGCAAGTCTTCCTCTTGATCCTGTGCCTTAAGTGCCCAGTCTATTAGGCCAAAGAGTGTGTGTGCCAGAAGAAACATGAGAAGAATTCTATCTCTAAGTCCAACTTGTCATGACTTACCATATTGGTTGCCTCTTCAAAAGGTACCAAAAGCTATTGATAAGCTATTGATGCAGTGAGGAGAACCCCAGCTCCCCAGAGCCTGTCCTCATACCATAATCGCACAGGAATTCACTGATGGCACACGTCAGCCTCTGCAACATGGGCAATGTTGAGTTCTAGCCTGTGTGGGTGTCACAGATTTGGCAGATTCCCCGCCAGCACCCGGCAATCGTCGGGCAAAGCTGATAGGGGAGAGACCTGTGTGTAACATGCTGCTGAGTATTTTTCTGCACATTTGTAAACGCTATAACTTTCATGTAAACCAATTAATTTACATGTATTGTGATTTTTTTTAGCAAAGACATG